CACCGCTAAGCCCGTAATTTGTCCGTTGATTATGCTGGAGATTTGCGGATTAGTTTTTGACAATGACCACGCTCGGTCGCCCGTGCACATGCAAAGCTGCGACATTGAATTGAACTGTGAAGTTCAACGCTTGGTCTGGTCTCCGAAACACTGCTCGTGGTACCAATACGATCGACGGTGTATCCACTTGAGAAACTATAAATCAAAAAGTTGGATAAAGGAGGGCAGCAGGGGACCGTGTCCTATTTGGAGAGAAGAAAAGTCACGTTGCAATACAAAGTTGCCAAGTTGGTCTGACCATGGTCTGACTAGCTCCCTGTAATTGTAAACACACATCATGCACAGTTCACGCACAGTTCATGCACAGTGATGGTGCAGTCATGTTTGGAAAGCTCATTCCAACTTGGCTAATTAGGGTGCACTGAACTAATTAAAGTGAGAATTTCTACGCTAGCTCATTAGCATAAAAAGTGCCCCCAGAACTTCTTTTGGCTTTAAAAACGGTGGAATTTTGTAAATATACCCAAGGATCAACTCCCTGGTTTTTTGGGCTTCCATCTGAGGGCAAGCTTGATAATGATAAAAATACGGATGAAAAATGGGTCCTATTTGCCTGTGAAAGTGAAAGAATGCCACTTGTAAAAATGGCTACAGCTTGGGAACTATCACTTTTCGGGAGGTGATTTTGTTTGGGTGTGAATATTTAAAAATGTAATTGGCTAATTTACCTAAAATTGAAAAAAAAAGGAAAAGATGAAAGAAAAGACAATAATTAAATTTTTGTTTGAAAAACCCCAGTGATGTTGGCTTGCATGTTATTTGGCCCTGAACTTTGTTGATTTTACACTGTTTTCAATTGGGCTTGAATAAGTACAGTGGATCATATAAGATGCTATTTATAAATCAGTGGTACTCGCGTCTCCAAAGGTATAAGTAAGGTATCGATGGAAAGCTGGTAAACCAACCTTAAAGATGCAACCTGGTGAGTCGGCTTGGCATAGCGGACTGGCGTACTTTCCTCGCCTTCCACCGCTGTGACCCGGTTCGATTCCTGCCCGGGGCAATAACGGATTGGGTTTTCAGTCCCTGCCTGATTCCGTGGGTTTCCCTCAGAATGTGAGTTTTTCCTCCCACATCTAAAACCGTACTTTCTTCACACTGCCTTCTCTTTACTGGGCCCCATGTCAGATCAGTGGATTCCACTGAATGGGCTACCCAGTTAAAATAAGAATTAGAGGAACGTATATATATACAACATTTGTTTTTGCTGTAATTTTCAGAAATAAATGGATTTGGAGGAATAGTATGTTATAGCCAATATTGTTACATTAGCTTGTTTCATGTTTTCGGTTCATAGATGCTGGAAAAACAAAGAAAACCAACCATGTTCTTGTAGTCTGGTTCCCTGACCCCACTTAAGATGAAACGGAGCAATTTATTGACTTTGGGGAATTGTAAGGTCAGAGAATCAGTCTAGCAGGCTTGTACCCCTTCACAGGTGTGTAATCAATTGCAAAGCCAATGCGGAATAATTAAATATGAAAAACAAGGAGCAGGTTTTGAAAAAAGGCCAGTGTTCTCCAACGCTGGTCGGCCGACCAGCGTTGGAAATTGATACAAAAATACCACTTTACTTTAAAATGACAGCACACCAGGAGCCATGATTGTACGGGATGCTTTAGACTGTCATTCCCTAACAGTAACAGTCCAGTAAAGAATTTCGTGATAATTCGATCATTTTGTTTTTCGATGTTTACAAATGTTGTATCTTCCCTTTAAGGAATTAAATCAAAGACCATACACTGGCGTTGTTCAAGTTCATATTTGTCACATCTAACCCGTTATTTTTGGATTAACTTGTTTTGTAGACTCTCTGTACAAAGTTGCCTCGAATGACGACCTTCAGTTACCTGCACACTTGAGAATTCTTCCGTCACAGAAAAAATAGTTTGATGCACAGTCCTTGCCCGAGGCCGAATAGAACAGAAATTATATTCTGGTCCGTTTCACAACAAATCAACTGTTTAGACAATCGTCGATTAGTTTCCGTGGCAACAACTCGGTGCCACTCCGAGGAAAAGTGACGGACGAACTGTGACGGAAATTTGGACACACCATGGACACACTCAAAGGATGGTGAAATATTCCAATTTCATTTCGTTGTAGTTTCTCAAACTTTCGCGACCAAAGGGCCGAATGAAACTTTTCGACTTTCGCATTGCACCATGGGGATGACAAACAAGCAATGCAGTGTATACATAAAGCTATGGGGGCAGTGAACCAGCCAAACTTAAATTGTTTTTTGGGCTGCCGGATAGCAGCCCAACACATCATCATGTCTCTCACTCTTAAAGTCCGTTAGTTAGTAACAAACGTTGGCATTATCTATTGCTACTACATGTTTTGAACGATTTCAACCCAACTTTGTCAAACGTTTCAGTAACTCAGCCCCAACAAGTTACATGACCAAACTGGGGTCAAATGTCATCATGGGGTCACTGATGGGGTCAAAACAATTTCTTTACTCAAAAGTCTACCGGTACTCCTTCCAGAAATTACATGGCACAATCACGTGACTCATGCATGAACATGAATTCGTTGGCCCGCAGCTACCGAGATATTTCCGATTGAGCATATTTTTCTTCAGTAATTTCCTAACATTAACTGATTATAAATTCATGCAAAGAATATAAGAAAATTTAGTTTTTAAAGTCTAGAAGTAAAAGAAGAAATAACCTTGATTTTTTTTCAAGGTACCAGTCGTCAGGCCAAGAGGAACGATTGTGATTGGTCAGTGTTGAAAGCGTGCGCTTCAAATCTTGATTCTGATTGGCTAATATTGGCAGGGATATAGTTCCCCAAAACTTTATTCACTTTGTTTTCTTTATTTCTTCTAAATGACAGAATGTCTTCTTGGAATCATAAATCCCCGCTAAAATGTATAAAAATTGGTGGAAGAATGTTTTCATGTTTACTTGCCGGTGATGTTAGTTGATACGATGGTGTATATGCGACCATAGCTCCATGGTGCAACTAGTAACATGGAACAAACACTAATATTACCTGCTAAAATGTACACTTTCGGGGTTACAGTGCAAAAACCTGCACAATCATCATCAGACCTGCCGTTTTATGTAAAAATGTATCTTTATACTTGTGTAGAAACACAAACAAACCTGTAAAACTCCCTGAAATTAAATCATGTTAGTACGAGAGCGCTATGTCATTATATTATGAGTCTAGCTTTGAAAGCGAGTTTGGCACCCTCAAGGCCAACCCAACCCCTGCTCATAAGTTAACTGAATTACCATGGCACTACTTCGCAAACAAAATAACTTTCCAAATTTCCACAAAGATAAGAGATTGAACTCATGCAGTTCGGACCTAATTAGTTGCAAAACCCCGTAACTTCTGACCACCACTCCAAGGATCAAGCGTTGGCATAGCTCGAGCGCGCTCAGCCGGGCCGTAATTCGGGCTAATTTGTCGGCCGGACGCTCCCTCGGTTGGCCCGCGGTGTACGGTTTCCTCCCCCGGTGTCACTACATATTTGTTGCTTGTCGCATACTTGTTCCGTCCCCGGGCACTGTTAGCAAATCACTCCAAAATGTTTGGGTAGCTAAACAGACATGCTGACATTTTCCTGTCTTCTCCAAGGGTTTACACCTTTCTGTATGCATTCATGTTTGTGTCTGGGCCAAGATATTACCACAAGGAACAGATTGTGCTCCACTAGTGATTACACTTAAATGTGCAATTTCTCCACGAAAAGCAGTTGTAGTACGGTTGTTAGGTGATGGGATTGTGCCGTTGATGATACTACAAGCATGGCATTTGGCACACAGTCAGAGTATGTCATGGGAAAGATATTTGGCTATATAGGGCCATCGCAGATCTGTCTTTTAAAAAATAGACCTGTAGAATAACAAGCAATGGCAGCCATTTTGAAATTTTGAAAATTGCTTGTTATTCTACCTATATTTTTAAAGGACAAATCTGCGATGGCCCTATAGCCAAATATCTTTCTAAAGACATACTCTGACTATGTGCCAAATTCCATGCTTATTTTATCAAAGGCACAATTCCCCATATACTTCCCCTATACGCCCCACTATTGCTTTCGTGTTATTTGCTAGAAAATAACACTTTGAAAGATGTGCATGAGGTTTGAAAACTAAAATGTTCTCATTGTCTTCTTATTGTCTTCTATCTAAGTAGGTGTAATGTTTCCCCGCAGGGATGCTTTACCGACTATAATATACAGACATCAAACCTAAACATATTTAGGATGGAGTAACCTAACTTCACAACTGCATGTCCCAGTAAATGTTAACAAGCCAAACTTGAACGTCAAATTTAGAGTTGGAAGATATACTTGCGAGTTGCATGCAATGTTTCGTTCAGCTGCAAGTAAATTTGAAGCAGAAAATGTAAAACGAACATTGCAGTACTTCATCAGGCCTATAAGTAATTAAAGAGTAACTTACGTGGCACCATTCAATGAATTTTCCTAAAATCCTTTCACCATCTATACATTTGCACGTGAGCAGGAATTTAAACTTATACTTAATATATAACTTATACCAAACCAACTAAGTTATACTAGTAATACTATAATTTGACACGCACTAGTTTTGTACTGAGCCGTAGACCTAATTCCACACAATGTTCTAATGCAATTGAAGTGCCGTTACGTACAAAGTAGTGTCGCAAAATCTCACCAATGTTAACTGACTAGAATTAAAACATTCTAGACTGCAAATTCATCTGAAGACGACTCTTCGCATAATCTCATCATCGCCCAAACCACCGATGCATGCTACACTGTGCACTGCACACCAACCATCAATTAAGTCTAGTGTTACAACTTCGGCACCGATAGAACATCTAAACGTTTCTATGACCTGGCAGGCATCCACGTGGTGCTGATACGTATTGGGCACAAGTTGGGAGTCTGTATGGGTGACTTGAAGATGTAAGTACCAGGCAGGGCACGGAGCGTGACAACCGCCCAGTCTCACACTGACCGCCCACCCCTCTCATCGATCACGCCTTACTGTTGGGTATAAAAAGACCGTCGTGGGTAAAACCTCAAGGCCAGTTGGTCCATCAACCTTGCTGGAGATGGGATACGAAGAGTGACAGAACCTCAAACTTTCTTCAGTCGTATGGACCATATTCGGAGCTATCATCTCCGCAAGTGTGAAATGAATTTGACCAGGACTTACATGTCTTCGAAGATCTGAGATGTCTGTGTCAACGTTTTTGTCTTAAACATCGAGCTATCATTATTTTTGACTACAAGTACAACTGTATACAAGAGTCAGAAGGAGGAAAAATCGTCACTGAATGGAAACTGTTTAAATTTGCCATCTCTGTTGCTACATTTGGACGATTGTAAACAAGGCATACTAACTATTTGGAGTCATGGAAAATTCGAGACAATTAGGCAGCTATACCTGATGCCCGACAATTAACTGAGGCTGGTTGTTTCCATGCGCATGGAGAAATCCTCTTGAATTTTTGAAGCAGCTTAGGATAGTTCCAACAGCGCCTGAGATACATTGACAGTGATTAACGAATAACTCTGAGGATAAACGAGAAATCAGAAGAGGGTCCACACAAACGACATAATCCAGGCAACGTGCTGCTGACTGCGTCTGCTCCCTCAACTGATACCGTGTGACCACGGCTGACTCCGCTCAAGGTTCTCGCCTAGCACCGCTATCCATCACCCAATACTCCCAGGACTTACCGCTTGTTATTCTCACCAATTTCAGTCTTTTTGCTCCGATGCTTCGTTTGCGAGACCGACCCACCAGAAAGCAGGAATCATTCACGGACTTGAACAACAACAGCCAGGGCAAGAGTATGAAAGAGGAGGTTTTGTGTTTGAATTCCCCCTCGGACTTGACAGAAATCGTGCTACATAGTCCGGGGGCGAGCTGCAGTCGTACAACTCCGCAGCGGGGTAAAGCGTGCAAACGGCGAGGTGGGGGTTCTGGAGCGGGTGCCGGCGCATCGGGCCGACGGGGTAGCGGCGCGAGAGCCCCCATCAAACCCATGCAACGGAACGCGGCGAACGCCAGGGAGCGGTCCCGCATGAGAGTGCTGAGTAAGGCCTTCGGCCGGCTGAAGACCAGCTTGCCATGGGTTCCCCCTGACACAAAACTGTCCAAGTTGGACACATTGAGACTCGCATCCAGTTATATTTCCCACCTTAGAAAAATACTGGACGGCGATACATTGGATGGCACGATGGTCCACCCCTTAAATTTGGTAAGTTAGAACAAAATAGCCCATATCTATCTTATCTTGCAACACTGCACTCGTGTACTACTAGATCTGGATTTCTCGGGAAACTATATTTTTTACCCATTTTCATTTCAGTGATGCCAGTACTAGTAGTCTTATAATTTCCATTTTAATTAACTAGCCATAAGCGATTTGAACCAGCTTTTGATTCGCATTAAACTGTGCCAAAATATACTTGTTTCTTTTTAACAGTTTAAGTACTATAAATATCTAGTGATAACTAGGATTAAGGATTTGTTATAAACAAAACAGAACATCTTTAAATTTTCCCAGCAAGTAGTGTGCACGCTTTTACTCTTATTGATACTGTTAATTGAAATTGGTAACTACGGCGACTAGTTTCTTTATTTTGTGTTGCTGGAATGGAAGCTTTCTTATAAAAAAAATGCTTAAAAGTTCTTATTCCACACTGCCCATTTCATTGAATTACAAGTTGGTCGCAGTTGCAGTTTGGTGCTTTAGGCATTATGTACATTATTTGTTTTTGTCAATTCAATTTTATTCAATTCAATATCACATTTATTTCCACGCTTCTAATTCAACAAAAATACAACAGCACATTAGGCAAACAGGTATGAAATACATGCAAGAAGTGTAAAATCATTTAAAAATCAAAAAACGTTTGTCATTGTTGTCTTTGCAAAAAAACACACGAAGGAACTATATTGATACGCGTCATTTTACTCTTAAACACGACATCAGAGATGCCAGATTTACTGTGAATTCATATCAGATGACGAACAAAAAAGTACAGTTTATTTGAATCTAATTAGTAAGTGCAGTAAATGATGTAGAAAAAAAGTCCTCGGGAGGTTTTCGTGTACAAACCTTATGGGACACGTTGAGAGAAGGTTAGAGTACAAACAATAGGAACAAAAGTAGGGATATTAGAGGTCCTCGTGATATCATGACGGGGGCGGGTGGAATTGTTTATGCATTCAATAGGCGATAGGGGACGTTGAACAATAGAGGACAATAGGTCCACAATTTCCGAAGGTCCACGTTTGACGATCTTGTACAAAACATATGGAAGGTCTTCCTAAACAGTTAGAGTACAAACAAAAGTGGGACAATATTGTCCCACTTCTGTTTGTACTTTAATTTTATCGTGGACCCCCTATAGGTGGTCCACGATTATAGGTAAAATACACACTTGTCTGCTTGTGTTTTATGGCACACTGTGGTATTTTCGTAGGCCCTACATTGTTCGTATTTTAAGGTTTCCGAAGTGTTCGTTGGCCCTAGGTAATCCGGGCCTGCTTGTATTACAATCAGTGCCTCTTAAAAAAGATGTGGTTAATAAAGTACCTTTAGACGAACAATGCTGTCGGGTGACGAGGAGAGACAAACATGAGGTTCAAAAGTCTATGTTTTAATGCTTGAGCAATTCCTGAATTCTTAAGCAATTGGGGCGAAGCTGTAATGACATCAAAGACGGCTTGTCACATCCATTAGCCTACTTAGTATTGGAATTTCAGCACCTACAGCCCAGATTTAGCTTTCATTATTGTGTGCGCGCTTAATTGAATTATGGTAATTTTCGGTGTTGATTGATGACACGACACTTTGATTGGAGTACGGAGACCATGGTGAGACCATGGTGAGACCCTCTTCTTCAAATCGTTATATCTCAGTGAACTGGAGAGGGTAATCAGGCGTACTAGAAGGCAGGAGAGCGAAAATTTCTCTAAATAATGTCTTAATGTAAGAAATTGTGTCTACGATCTTGTCAAATGCTTGTAGATTCCACGACCATGATGACACTGTTCTTCTCCTTGCTATGTGTTCTCGGTGTATAGTCTTAGTTCAAGACGGTATTGTTTCTCTCGTGTGATGATGGACTTTAAATACAAGGTCATGGCCATGTGTATTGAGTTGCGATGACTGTGTGATGACTATCACAAAATGGGCTCACTGCGCGGTTGGGTTGAAACATCTCCATGGTGTCTTCAATGAATTTTTAACAAATGGCTTATTTACTAAGGACGTGAAGGCACATTTGTTTTGCTTACAGCTTCATTTTTGTCGACTTAAAGATCTGTGAAAACAACGAAATCACGGTTGCGTTCAGTCGAGTCTCGTTAATACAAACTCGTTCGGACCTAGCCAAATTGTTTTTCTTATATCAGAATTTTGTATTAAGAGGAACATCAGTCCCATTCATTGTGCACATAAATGCACAGTCGGGACCAAGGTCTTATGTTTGTTATAACCAGAATTTTGTATTAACAGAGTTTGTTCTAACGAGAGTCGACTGTAGTGAACAGTGTTACTGGTAATTTGCCAAACGATGGCATCGTTTGAACCCAAACGTTGGAGCGACTGTGTACCACAAAGTTAGCGAACGGTCTTCCTATAATTTCTGAAAATACCGACTGAAATGGTGTCATGCATCAGTTGCTGATGAAATTTGCCACGAATTAAATGTACCCAAATGAACTCTAATTTCACACTCACAGGCGAATTTTACTTTCAGTTGCAGAATTTTTGGTGAGTCTTTTTTTAAAGGCTATTTGCCACAGTGGTACTAGCACCGGCCGTGCGCTCACATGTTGAAACCATTTTGGCGTCATTGCTCCGTGTCTCATGCAGCAGCAGCACAGCACATTCAGCATCCATCTTGTGTCCAAGTTTATATATCTTTGTCGCAACACTCCCTGCATGTCCACTGGTATGCGCTTGCCTTGGCTGATCAAACTTGTTTTGTCATGAATAGCAATAATCCATGTTTTTTTCTTCTCAGGATTTTTTTTTTTTTCATGTTTTAGCCCAAATATTTATTTTAATATGTGCATTTATCCTTTGAAGTATTATTATGTATGTATATACATGTATACATTTTTTTTGGGGGGGGGGTGGGGGGGGATTTTGGGGGGGGGGGAGATTCACAAAGCCTTATAGAGAAAGTATATAGAGAAATTGAACCTCGTAGAGACAAAAAAGGCGGATCCAGGGGAGGGGGCCGACGGAGGCTATGGCGCCCCCCCCCCCGCCCCCAAACCCCCCATTTTTTTAGATGACGTCGCAATAAATGCAGGTACTGCGCACACCACTATCTTTTCCTTAAAAAAATAGGTTAAAGTTGTCTCAGATCGCACCACAGAGCATCTAGAATCCAAATATTTTTCAGGCCCTAAAGCGGGCACCGAACTCAATGCCGTAATTTTGGGACCCACGTTTTGGAATTTTTTGGCCCCCTAAAAACATTTTGTTCTGGATCCGCCCTTGCGCAGAGATAATTCTAAATTCTGGGACAATTTCGAAACTAATTGAAACAAAATGGTTTGTAGAACAGCGATTTTCACCAAGGCCATCCCACGTGTGATTAACAAATCTCTTTCCCGGACCGGGCCGGCCGTGAGAATTCGAATCGAAAAGCGGGTAAGGGGGACATAACTTTTGTCAATTTTGGGAGTTGGTTAAAATACACATACTAATATATAAGGTACTTTTTACTAGTACAATTACTAAGTTTAATTAATAAAATCGCCGTCTGGCTTCTTCTGTTTTTCTTTTCGTTTTCCTCCCCCATCCCTTTTGTCATGGGGGTTCGCCCATCGCTTTCGCTACTTACGTCTCTGCAACTTTCGGAAGAGTTGCGGCGAGTTAACTAGCTTTAGCGGGTTACAGTGTGTCTGGCCGGCCGGTGCCACAGTGCGCTGGGCCCGTGTAGTGCCCTGGCCACAAGCTGGTCAGAGGGGAAAGTATTTTATTGAGTGTCGTTTTATGCTCTAACGAAGACCATAAAAAGGGAAGTTTTACAGCTTCAGGAAATGTTCCAAACTTGTTAGTGAAATTTACGGCCGGTTGTTTGTGCCATAACTGTCGATTTGAATACATTGTAGGGATTGGAAAGCCCTGTTCGATGTATACAGACAAGATTAGTTTCAACCAAGCCATTTTCTGGACAATTTTTATTTTTTTCAGCAGTACCGTAGATGCAAATTGGTTTTAAGATTCAAAAACTTATCGCGGTGTCAAGTTGGTTTACTTTCGGTTGTGTTTTGTTTTGGTGGAGCCACAATGCGAGGTTTCAAACCAGTAAAAGCGTATACGATCATTTGCTTTTCATGCATTTTGTTGGTTTCCAATAATAACACCACTCAAAATACCTAACCTGTTTAAATTTCAGCTCAGTGGATGTTGTTGGAACTTTTTTCGAGGGAAAAAAGGTGATAAACCATGCACAACCTTTTGATCACAAAACACGATTTCGTTAATAGTACTCTTTATTTCCAAAAATCAGTCAACTGACTGATCGTTGGAAATCACCTACATATCTGGATTTCTTCTAAATGACAGCAAGCCAGATGGAATAATTTCAAGGTTTTTTTTAGTACCATACGCTCTTTAATCCAAGTAAATTTGCCCCTAATAATTCGCTGGGTTACTTTTGGGATAAATGCCAATGGTCCTAAATAAACCTTTAAAGAATTGGACATGCGGGCCAGACAATAAAGCGTGTGATTCAGGGAGATTTATATTTATTAAAACATTGGAGTAAAGAGAAAAACGTGAACTTTAAATATCACACGGGAGCGTCTCTCCACAAATATCAAAGTCGACGGTCGTCCTAGAACTGTCTTTAGGTCGTAAACCACCCGAACGTGCTCGACGTGCCTTTAGCCTGCGATCCAGAAGCCCTAACCAACAACTTCATATTTGGGTCTTCAAAAATACAAGTCAGAAAGTTTGTTTTCAAATAGTTGACCAAAATTACATCAAAATTGCATGTTTTCAGTTGTGGTATATAACAACATTTCTCACTGCTTAGAAACACCGCGATCGCGCAGCGGACTTTCACTGCCAGGCACCGGGGCGGTGCGCTTTGATTTCCCGGTGGTCTGTTCCGATTTTTTACGGTCCTCTTTATTGCGTCGCGTGGACATTTATCGTTTTCTGACTTTGGCGTGTAATCAGGTTTTTATTTAGCGTCTGTTTAACTTTGGTTTTGGGCTATTGGACACGTCTGCCTATGAACTTGAGGGTGTACGTGTACTATTGGTGCCATTTGTGTTTACATGGAAACACTTTTGGTCTAATTTTTGGCGGAATGAGGGGAGTTTAACGACGTTGCCTTGCACTGATCTGTGACCGCATTGGAATTCCTTATTTTTTCAGTATTAAACCTTGATTATCTGAAGTGTTTCACAGTCTGCGCTAACTCTATTCTCTTTAAATAAAGGAATGCATACGTATGAAGAGTCGAAACAATCACATATATTTTTCGAAAATGATTTGTGTATTTCTAAGTGAATATTCTGGGCATCGGGTATTGTATTAACATGCAAAATGAAGAAATATAAGTAAGCCACGGCCTGTATACACAATTTATGTATACAATGTATATGTATTTGACTTGAAGCTTTGCATGGCGGATGAGATAAAATTGAGGACATTTTCGGGTAACACAATGTGGAAAGAAATCTCTTCTTGGAAGAAGTGTGGTTCTGAAAAGAACCGGTTGGTTGAGTGTAGAACTCGATGTTTCAGACAGTGTGCTCTGTCCGTCCTCTCACTTCAAGAAGAGATTCTTCCCACATATGCATAGAGTTACCCGAAAATTTCCTTTATTTTGATTTATGTAGACATAAGCACTTTGGTAAAATGTGACCAAATTTTACTGCAATTTATGTTCTGCTTAGGCCTATATCAAAACCTGGTTTTTTATTTATTGAGAATTGAATTTCGTTGAGGTCTCCCGAATTGCTGGGGCAACTGTTGTTTGTCATCTCCAATAAATTAATTGCTGCATGTCGTGAATATACAAAGATTTATGAAATTGTGAACAACGACGCGCTTGTGAAGGCAACATCGGCTTTATACGGTACTCGAGTCAAGAGGAAGCTCTTAGCGAGAATTCTGGGCCGTGGGTCAAAGTTCATGTCACGAACCAGATACATTCAGATTGAGATAACATTCAGCGAATCGACTTCTACATCGATAAATTGTTAAAGATTTTTTATTTGTAGCAAAAATCATGATTCTTTTAAATCATGCACAATCTTCCAAATTTAAAGGTAAAATACAACATTTGCTTTTGCTGCTATTTTAAGAAATGGATGGATTTGAGGGTTAATATTTCATAGCAAACATTGTTACACTGACCTGTTTAAAGTTTTGTGTTCATAGATGCTGGAAAAACAAAGAAAGAAACACTGTTCTTGTAGTCTGGTTCTCTGATTCCCTTTGCAGACGGAACAGAAACATTTATATAGAGTCGGGATTTGTCAGTTCAGGGAACCAGACTAGTTTGCTTGCACCCATTCACAGGTGTGTAACCGATTGCAAACAAAATGTGTACTAACGAAAATTGGTAAATTGGGAGCAGTATTTGAAAAAAAGCAATTAATATTTCCAACGATGACCGACCGACCATCGTTGGAATTTGATACATAAGTTCCACTTTCTTGAACATGACATCCGTAAACTTTATAAAGCGATTTCAAATCATGTGATATATTATTTCATCACATAAAAATATGTTTCGTGGTAAGTGGCTATACTTGGTCGCAGAAGTACCCAGTATCTGCAACTCGTATTTATTTTTGTTCGTCAAGTGATTCTCTCTGTGTTGTATTACATTAATCCATATTTTTTGCCGTCTTTCTACGCAGACATGGCCATTTGCAATCAGCTCGCGACCAATCACCACGGATGATGCGTCTGAAGAATGTGACAAGGAGATGCGATCGGATACAACCAGTGACGTCATGTCAGAGTCGCCATGATGGGCCGAGTGACATGGACTAGTCGGTGAACTGTGATAACCGACAACATATCCAAAACTGAACTTGTGGAATTCTTTGATCCGTGATCTGATGAACACACATACATGAGCTGGCATGCGTACGTTGTAAACGTACCGGTTTCTGGTATGGCGCTTGTCTCATTGAGGCAAGCTTTACTTTCTTTTTCTTCAAATGTCGGCGGATGTTGCAGATGACGCTTCGATCCCCTTAACACTTTCAAAAATATCCTTCAGAGTGGAGCTTGAGGTGACCTCAGTAAGGCCATAAGGCTTGAGAAATTTGCACCCACTTACGATCTCGACCGACACGAACATTCTTCGGGAAATTTGGAGAGAGAAGACAAAAATCGGAGACAACGGTATCGTCAGAGTAGACCATACAGCGACATCGTGCATGAGCTGCCAGGCTGGTCGTTAGTCTGCCACCTTAGATTTTGCGCTCATTATAAAGCGTTTACAGGTTCAAGATACACGACCATCGCTCCCTCAGTCTGGCTTCCAGACGCACAATTACAGAATTACAACACCGTCTGCAAGTGGTGCAAAATATATGGGAGCCCAGAGTGGCGACATAAAGCTAATACTCGATCGTATCTCCATCTAAAAACAGGTTAAAATTGTGCAGCAGCAGGATTCCAGTCAAACCAGTGAGTTTGGCGGTTTTGAGACATCATCTTACATTGAAATTTTGCAGCAGACGCGCATGGATACGGCGACGCGCGCAGTTTGTTTTTGACCATGTACTTGAAGGCGAAGCGAAGTATATGTAATTGAAGTATAATTGATTGAAGCAAAGCTTTACTGAATTGCTTTGATAAAAGTGTTTTTTTTCTTACTGTTTGTTCTCAGAAAATGGCGCCGTTGATACAGCCCCCTCATTCGGTCAAAAATATGACCCATTGCAATGGATCGTTAAAGTTTGTATATATGAGTAACCACAGTGACGTTCGAAGGCACAGTATTTACGCAAGGAATTATTGTGGCCTTTCTCCGATGTGTATATGATTTTGGCACCAACCCTACTTGCGAAAAATAGCTTGGGACACTAGCTCTGCTTGATGTTGTCATTAAATGCATGATTCAGAATTGGAGGTGACTAAATTTTACACCAGGGGAAAATAAAAAATAGGCCTGGGCCTATATGACGCATTAAAACGTATGTGATCAATACGAATGGAAAGATTCACTCGAATTGATTAGTGGCTGATTTCACAGATCTCCCTAAGCACAGAAGTGCTTAGAACAGCAAATGACTGCTCAGCAAAATTGGTTACCTTTTCTAATGCCATGCACCATGTATTAACTTGTGACTTCTTGTCAGCGGATATGGAGACATGTCTGCAGTTGCAGACATCTCGAGAGGGCGCTGTTACTAAGCGCCGATCATTTAAATTCATGCTTGATAATTCAGTTTTATTATGGAAATATATTTGCAATACTGTATGTGGCATCTTACCAAGCATCATTCTCAGTTTCTTGTGAGCATTTCTGAGCGTGTAATGCTCCGTCGATAAAGGCTGAGAAATTTGTAAAAAATTTGCAACGGACTTCTTGGTCGGCATACAGAGTTCTATGGAACCTTTGGAATCTATGTTATGGAAGAAGAATATTTGTTTTAATGAGATAAATATTTTGATAAGGGGATCAGTCATTACTCATTGTAATACCTCTCTGTCTTGAATACTGTATTTTCATTGGCCTAGAACGATGACGTGTTAAGTTTATAAAATGTCATGGCACACTCCCTGTGGGATATCACGTAGGTGATATCCCATAGGGAGTGTGCTAGCTATGACTTTGTACGTACGGAACGTACGATGTGAAACGCTTGTATCGTTGGTACCCGCGCTAATTTCACCATGGTTTTACACCGTGGGAGCAGCGAACTAGCAGACGATCAGCTGTTTCAAGCACGCGACATGCATGTGAGTTGACGTTCGATTGTCATGGTTGTTGTGTTTAAACGCTGTTTGTTTTCGTGATGTTTACATCAAAATTCAAAGAAACCAAGACAGAAGTATAACAAAACGCCTCTAGACGAGGGGCGGGTGCTATGCGCCCCTCGGGTGTCTAAAAGTCATATCCCACATCGCAGCAGTCAACAATTGTTAATAATGGATCTCATTCACGAGGTAGCCATTATTGTCTTATTCCGTGAATGTATTTCATGAATTGTTAACTGTTGAATGGGATGGCACCAGACTATTTATGCAGCCTTATTTTACTTTCATTTTTTTTTTCAATCTGGCTTGAAACATTAGGGAATGTTTAATTATAAATTTTAAATTATTCATTGAAGCAGACTGGAATTATTTAGTAATGTACTTGCTTTCATTTCTCTTCGCAAGTTCCAAAAGATTTAACCTCAATTTCAAATCAATATGGCCGACTCGTGAAAAAGGCCCATTGTCTTTTAATTAAAATTATGTTCTTTCAACTATTATATATCTGGAGGAAATTGGCAAGAGTGTGAGAATTGCATGGTAGCCCCCTCACTGTTCAAATTATTAAATCGAAAATGTCTGTAATGTTCGATAAGTGTGGTCTAATTTTTCAAACCGAAAGTCTTTTTAAATGACATCACAGTTTTGCTCATGAATATGGAAATTTGCGTTTAATATAAAAACCAAAATGGCACCGAAACACCAATGAAAATGGAAAACTGAATATTGAAATAAGGTTAAATTGGACACAAAGGTGCATTTACATTGACTGCATTTTAATAAAACTATATTGCATGGCCCCTTACATTAAAATGATTGCTTGTGTTTTTTTCTTCACCAAACAAGATTAAAATTCAGCAACTCCATCAACTCTTTATTTCACTGCTTTGAATTGAGGAATTTGAAGGTGACATTTTCTTGCCTATTCTCACTATATTTTGAAATGTACCCGAATGTTTTAGAAATTAAGAAATTTGAAACCTAATTGGTTCATCATGCATCGAAGTAAAACACACAGCTCGTTTTTAATGTAAACTAAGAAATACCGCTTTGCTTTAAAAGAATGCACATTTGATGATTTTGTTCATTATTTGAGCAAATATATGGTTTTGTAAATATTTGTAAAGGTTCAATAAAGTTGAAACGAAACTGATGTGTGCATTCATGTGTGTTCAGAGAATGTGTACAAAGAGTGAACAAAACTTCTCTTCATTTTTACGAACGATGTCCATACTCCAATAATGGAACCTAGAATACATGCAGGAAGAGGACTTGAATGCTGAATGGACGAGGAGGAACTGTAGATTCGTGCTAAGAATGGACGAGGCGAAGGCGAGTTTATTCTTGCGCGGATCTACAGAACTTCTGAGTCTATTTTCCGACTTATTTATTTCTTAAAACAGCAATAGCTTATGCAAATGAAATAACTGGTGACCACAATCTCCACATTTGTGAATAAGTGTAGATTCGCACAATCTGCAAACTCGTCTCCAGTGCTTACTTTATTTTCAACCTCGTATTTTCAACCAAGTAAGTTGGCAAAACGAACATTGGAAATAAGGTTATAAAATGGGACACAAAGATGCATTTTCAATGACAGCATTAAAAATTGCATTGCACGCATACGAGCCCTTGAAAGAAACAGTATTATTTTGAATTACTGGTGACTTTATTTTACCAAACATGAACTTGTAACACATCCATTAGAATGGAAGTAACTGTTGCTGAATAAAAGGCTCAAATATGTGTCTTCCAATCAAGCCTACACGTAGGCCTGATACAAAAATGGCTGTCGGGGGGGGGGGGGGGGTGAAACATCGCGACACTAAAGATGTGGAAAATCGATTGACCTCGCTCCAAACATAGAGACCTCTTGACAGAGCAGACCTTAGATTGCTCTTGAAAAGATGAATCAAAACTTGGGATTTATGTGGTAAGCCCCTCTTGTAGTGTTACTTATGTTAAAAGGTCACAGCTAGGTCATCAATTACGATTCGCATGACTTACAAGTGCTCGCTGTGGTGATGCTAGAAGGAAACATAAGTGCATGTATCCTATAATGGGGGGGGGGGGCTTCATTGGCAAAGTATTCACGGTTGCATGACGACTGTTTAATGACGGGAAGAGTTTCACTTTCTTTTCTATGGTGAGAGTATGGGGTTATATTTTAGTGCATGTGTTTATGCCAGGGACATTATTCTTATGTAAGCGTCCGATACTAATTACACAAAAAGGGGGTGGAGATAATGAATTAATTGAATGAAATTAGATTGATTCAACCCAACCCAATCAAGTCTATCCCAACCCAGCCAACAACCTAACCTAACCAACCTATATCCAACCAGTGTTTTATTTCTCCATGATCCAACCCAACTCATTTTAGATTGAAACAAAAAAGATGTTCGTCGTTGTCAGCGCTGGGTTCCAGTCACTTATTGTTGTAGTAGAGGTCCATCAACAGAGGGCGCTTTTCATAACACTGACGATCCGCAATTTACTTAATACGCGCGTGTGTTACTGTCTTTGTACATGAAATTACATTGTTGGGGCGTTAAGGTAGTGTATGTATATACGGTACAAATACTACGACGATTTCAAAGAAACAGCGCCTTTTCAATAAAGACATAAGTGTGTTTGGGACGACTGCAGGTGTACAGATTGTTAGCTAGAAATCTTCCTCGTTCGTAATGCATGCATGGTCGTCAGAGCCAGAGGGCGTTGTTCAAGACAACTGACTGCACTCTTCGGCAATCATCGGCCAAACATGACAGGAGAGGGCGCTGCCCGTCGCATTTGTCCTGAGTTGTTTCAAGTAAGTGCCACGCCTGAGGTAGGCTTCGTTTAATTCAAACGACATTGCATGACTGTATGACCAATGCTGGTAAAATCTGGTAATCTAGGTTAACCATGTCGCGATGCACATTGAATGGAGACTGTTGAAAATCGGTAGTAAAATGTTTTTGATTTGTTTTTCATCTTCAACACGTAGTTTTGTTTTTAGAACTTCACAGTTTGATAATTTCTATTAATAAGAAATACCACTCCCTTTGAATTATGGAAATGACATGGGGGTGATTTTCAGCGATTTTGAAATTTTTTGATATTTGTGATGCTGCTTATGATTAAAATGTTCTGTACAAGTTTTCAAACAAAAATGTCATGGACAAGGTATTTTAAAACACTTTTATAGAGGCATGTCATGTCACAAAATGACACTTTGTTCAATAATTTACTCTGAAATGATGCAAACTATAGCATGAC